GTATGTATGTGTGTGTATGTGTATAAATGAATTTTTTTTAAGTATTATACGGAAATAAAATAATGTACTGTATTCTTATCTAAAGTTCTTGAGCGTTAGTAATACCCTTTTCCGTTTCCTGTTCCGGTACTCTTCTCCTATTGGATGGCAATGCACATTTCTTCATTTAAGGTTGCATCTGGTTGTTCAACGTTCGATTAAAAAAAAAAAAGCATGCAATTCCATATGAATTTAGTGCATATCTTGTGTGTTCTGCACTGCATATTCCGTTATCCAAAATCCATTCAAGTGTGGCTTTCTTTTTTTTCTTTGTATTTAAAATTCGGCTGTCAGATTGCTAAACAACGAAGGCTCTCTCCTGGCCTACTCTGGCTACGGGGACACAGACGCTCGGGTCACTGCCGCCATCGCCAGCAACATCTGGGCAGCTTATGACAAGAATGGCCACCAGGCCTTCAACGAGGACAAACTCAAATTCATACTCATGGACTGCATGGTAAGACATGAGTTTCTTCTTGTGAACATTGCAGCTATTGTCAAATACATAAAGTCACAAGACCAAATGTATTTATTTATTTATTTATTTTGACATTTATTTACTTTTATATTTTAATCTTTTTTTTTTTTTAAACAAGAACGCTTTCAACCTTTTTTTACCACATCTAAAATATTTAAGTCTCCAAGTAATACCATCTTGACCAAAATTAGTTTTTAATTTTTGAATGTAATATTTTTTATGGTTTAAAATTTAAACCCTACTGAACAGTACATTGGCAGCAAATCTTTTGCCGACCACTAATGATACAACACTTTCGAGTCACGACCCTAAAGGATAAGATTTCTAGACGACAACCAATATGTTCATTTTATGCAAAGAAACCCATAAATAGCAAAATTGAGGAAACTTTGTAGTGGTCTCCATTTTTTTCCCACGAACGGAATATATTTTACTTGTTAAAGGGTGCAGTGTTCAAATTTTTCATTGCAATATAGAAAAGTATCGATTCCCCAGAAATGTGTTGAGTAAGGGATTGGGTGCTGTTTTTCTTGCCTACTCCTAGGTTCTAATTGTTTATAATGAAATGGGTTCCTGTTTACACACACAAAAAAAGGACCTGTGCATAGCATTTGCTTCCACACTACACCCAATGTGGAGCAGTTGAGTGCGGTACGTGCCGAAGCGGGCCTCTTACTGGAGAAATACACCTAACAGCAGTATCTGTGTTTGTGTCACAGGAGGGAAGAGTGGCCATCACGCGAGTGGCTAACCTACTCCTATGCATGTACGCCAAAGAGACAGTGGGCTTCGGAATGCTCAAAGCCAAGGTGAGGCAACACCATAACAATGTTCTCAATTTGTCACTCACGTGCGCTTTTGTCGAGCAGGCCGAGGCTCTGGTGGAGTACCTGGAAGAACCTTTGACCCAAGTAGCCGCATCCTAGTGGGACTGTGTGGCCCAAACCAGTCCATGGTGTGGCTTCTAACCAATATCTCATTGTCTCTTTTTGTTTATTTTTATTTTTTTTAATTTAATCATGTAAATGTGTTGCTGTTATTAACAAATGTGTCTATTTAGTTAGATTTCCTGTGGAATTTTGTCTCGTGAAAGCATTCAGATTGATTTCTGAAGTGTTGTTGAATTGTAATTAAGTTGAAATATTACCATTTAATTCAGATGAGTCCAATAAACAATTTCTGATTACAGATCTTGTCGTAGTTTTGTTTAATCTGGGATTTGGTCCGACAGAGAGCATTGGGGGAATAAAAATACAGATGGATTTCTTTTATCCACACATCAGTCCATTTTGTAAACGGTTTAGAAAATGGATGGATGGAGCCTATCTCAAATGTCTTCGGGCAGTAGGCGGGGTACACCTTGAACTGGTTGCCAGCCGACCTTTGACACTCACAATCACACCTCGGGACAATTTAGAGCGTCCCGTTAACCTGCCATGCATGTTTTTGTAATGTGGAGTACTCAGAGAAAACCCACGTAGGCACGGGGAGAACTCCACACAAGAAGGCCAGAGCTGAAATCGAGTCCTACACCGTTGTATTGTGAGGCCGACGTGCTACCGGATGTCTTTTATTACTTTACTAAATACAGCCCCTTTTCACTTAAAACACCCCAAATTTTCATCTTGGGGGTCAGGGGGCATACTTTATTCTCCAAAATTTATGTATTCTCATAAAGAAAATGCATCATAATTCTTTAAAAAAAAAAAAAAAAATTGACTTCCCTTGAAAATATGACTTAATTCTCAAGAATTTTACTTCTTTCTTGAAAAATAAACCTCTATATAAGAAACTTTTTTCTTCAGACAACTTTTCTTTCCTCTCCAAAAAGGTCGACTTTATTTTTGCGATGCGAATTAACTTCTTCCTCTTCTCGTGAGATTGCCAACGATTTTTCTTTTAAACCTACTTATGGACTCCTGTACTGTTGCAACACTTTTCTCATAAAATAGAAATTCCAAATCAAATTTAATGAGAAAACGCACAGTAGAAAATGCTCGAAGGACATTGACTCAGCAAATTTGGTGTGTAAGGTTGTGTCCGCTGATTGTTCTTTCTCATCCCTCCCACCAGGAGGCGTCTGACAGAAACTGGGCTTCCCACCTGCATTGCAACCCCCCCTCCCCCTCCACCAACCTGATAGTGCCACACCCCCATTACCGCAGCTATGCCACTCCCTGACCTGGATATGCACTCAACATGTCTCACCCCAGCAAGCCTGAAATGTAAGCCAGCAGGCAGGAAGGCTGGACGGCCGTTTGTGTACCAAAACCGGATGGTTTCCGTCCTCGGGTCTGACGAGGACCTGTCAGTGGTGAGGCGGCTGCCGCTTGCTGACTGAGTCATTTCCCTCAGAAGAAGAAGTGGAGACACGGGAAGCAGTGGATGGACACAACATGGGCTCGGACGAGGCCTACAATTTTGTCTTCAAGGGTGAGTCTGTTTGTTGTGCTACTCAAGTGAGCATTCCGAAAGGATTACGGTATTGTGTATGGAACTCTTCAGGACAACCTTGCCTGTCCACGCACACTTCCTTGTTTATAATAAGCTTGGCAGACGCCCATATTGAAAAAGAGGGCATTGTTGTGCCCCCACAGGATATGGTCGCCTCAAAATGACCTTTCTCTCTAATTATTAGCTCTGGGGTGCGCAAAGGGCCAAAATGGACTGCAAAGTGGAAATCTTATTTCGGTTAAAACAGTTTGGTAAATCCTACATGACTTTAAAAAGAAAAAAAAAGAGCTCAAATTCAAGTAAAAGCAAGTAAACCTATCTAAAATAAAAATTAACTACCACTGGCCAAAATTAAAGTAAAAGTAACGAACGCTCTCCTTGGTTAAAATAATAGTCCCCAAACTGCTAAATGTAATCTCAAAAGCTACAGTACTTTACATTAACCCTTTCATGCACCCTGTAACCTGATAACATGATAAGATGTCCATTGTAGTAACTGCTGTCCCTCAAAGGGTTAAATCTAAAACTACCTAACCTAACACTAACCTCTTAATCATAATTTTAGCTAACCCGATCAAAATAATGTAAAAGTACAACAATGAAAGTATAAAATAACCAACCCGTTACATGCAACCCCATGCAATGTAATTTAAAAAAATGCAGATTAGAGCGAGCAACTACCTCATCTAGTTCTGGTTGAGCATCTATCCAAAAGGAAAAAAAAAAGTAAACCGCGGTTGAAACCAGACAGGCATGGTAATTAGGGTTTATTCCAGAGAGAACAATGCTCTGTGCTATCTCGTTTTAAGTGGCGTGGAGGGACCAGAAAGACTGGAACATGACAAAACCATTGGAAAAGCATCAGAAGTGTGTTAGCCATTTAGCCATTTACACATAAAATATTCATTTGTGGAATTGCAATTATTACACACAGTAGTTAGTGCACTTATTACATAGTTATTACAATAGTTTTTTTTTAACTGATTCGTTCCCACGACTTTTCATTATGATTCTTCATCATGATTTGGCAAAAGTGTACATTTGTGGCACTACATAGTTATTACATAGTTGTTAAAGTTTTATTAAATAGTTATTACAGTGATTGATTTGCATGTTGGGGTGTTCAAAGTGCATCTAAAGGGCAGCACTCATTTAGTGCAGAAAATTTAAAAAAATATATTGTTCCCACTGACTCCAGGAAGTGTGTGCATCCATTGGGGCAGAGCAGCTGCAGGGCGTAGGCCTTAGGATATCACAAAGGATAACAAATATGATCATCTGGAAAAAAACATGGTAACATATCAGTAGTTTTTTCGTTGGTTATGTTTTCTACCTGTTAACATTTTTCCATTTTTTGACAAGGAGGATGTTTCATGTAATAGTCTTAGTTTCGGCAGGATGGGATTGTCTTAACACGGAAGAGATCAAAGGTGTTACTGAGAACGTTGACAAGTTTATTTTTGAAGTTGTTTGACAACCTTTGTATTATGCAAACATTGAATTTGAAGGACTCTAAAACAAAAATTAATATTTTAGACAAATGACAAGTGCTCACAGTTGAAAGGTTTATGCAGTAAAAGAAGTACCAAAAAATCCCTTCAAAACAATGTTTTCAATGACAGATTATTTCTGTTCTAAACTGAAAATGGCAGCAAACAACCGGAAAAGGCAGTCAAAATCCAACAATGCTTGAATGTGAAGTCATTCTTTAAATATTAACACCACATCCCAATGAATCACTCGTTAAATGTCATATTTCATCTATTAAATAGTACCCCTGAGATCATGTCAGATTGTTCAATTGTTTCATTTCCTGCTAAAACAACCAAACGAGGGGAAAAAGAAAGGTAATATCGTCACCAGTAAAAAAACTAAATGAAAACAAATCCTGGGAATCAACAGACCATTGCGGCAGAAAGCTTCATGCTTGCCCACACACGGGATCGTAGCTTTTGTTTGTACAAGTGGTTACTGAGTGGTGAAGGACGCCGGCGGAAAAAGTAGCATTGTTATCAATTCAGCAGCGGCTGGAGGGCTGAAGGGTGCCAGGCGTTGCAACATGAATACCGCAGAGTGAACAGTGACCTCCAAACCAGAGAAAGTACCGGTATATCATTCCTCAGGGTCGAAGTTCACAAGACAAAAAAAAAAATGTCATCTCGGTATGCATACGTGGAAAAAAAAAAAAAAGAAGAAACAAAACAACAATCCGCTTGACAGGTCTATTGAGGAAAAAAAAATTTGAAAGCTCTACTTTTTTTTTTCCCCATTGGGCTTTACTGAGTATGGGCAAGCCCCAATTTAGAGTCCACATCAACAGCACCAGCCTCAGTTTGCTCATGGCCACCTTGCCCCCTCTCCGTGTTTAAATATATATTTTGTTGCCGAGTCACTTTTGGTCATGTGTTTTCATCAAAAGTCAGTGGTGTGTTTGATTCAAATTGGACTCAAGCCAAGTCTCGTAACTCGACTTAATCCTATCACGCACCACTAATGATAACCTGTAACCTGATAACATGATAAGCTGTCCACTGTAGTAACCGCTGTCCCTGAAAGGGTAAACATAAAAACAGTACTATGAATGTAAGTTAATTTAAATGCAGTAAAAAGTCAAAATGTATATACAATATGAAATATGAACATGTAAGCAGTCTCCTGGTGTTCATTCTCTTGCTCTGTTTGGCTGCTCTTCAGTTGGTATACCGTAACGAATCCAGTTTTGCATTTATTATTTTTTGGGGGGCCCTCTTCAGTCGTCCTGATTGGTGAGTCGAGCGTGGGCAAGAGCAACCTGCTGTCGCGCTTCACCAAGAACGAGTTCAGCCACGACAGCCGCACCACCATCGGCGTGGAGTTCAGCACGCGCACCGTGCAGCTCAACGGCTTCACCATCAAGGCGCAGATCTGGGACACGGCGGGACTGGAGCGCTACCGGGCCATCACGTCGGCGTGAGTCGCTGCTGACATCGTAAACACACGCGCATGCTTCGGGGTGTTTTCAGGAAAAACACTGATGCCGCGTTACCTGCAAACAACCCGCATTGTCCACGGCTATCATTTGGACTGGACCGCGTTGCCTATTAGGAGCCAAGGAGCTTCATTTAGACAAAAGCGGTGCTTTGCTGCCATCCTGTGGCATCTTTGTACCAATGAATTATGTCAAAGTGAGCTGATGAGCTTAATTTAGATAAAAATAGTATTTTGCCACACTCGTACGGCAGCTTGGTGATAAAAGCTACGTTGAAGGCAGCTGAGGGGATTCATTCAGACAAAAGTAGTGCTTTGCCATCATGTGGACCATGATGCACAGCAACTATGTTGAAGTGAGTTGAGGAGCTGCATTTCACCAAAAGTAGCACTTTGCCACCATCTTGTGGCATCTTAATGCCAATGAAATATGTTGAAGTGACATGAGGAACTTCATTGAGACAAAAAATGGGGCTTTCCATCATCTTTTGTACAAATAAACGATGTTGAAATTAATTGAGAAGCTATATTGGCACAAAAGTAGTGATTCCTGCCATCTTGATGCCAAAGAACTATGTTGAAGTGAGCTCAGGAGCTTGATTTGGACAAAAGTCGTGTTTTTTTGCCACCTTGTGGCATTTTGGTGCTCCAAAACTACATTGAAGTGAGTTGAGTAGCTTCATTGAGACACAATTGTTTTGCTGTCGTCATGAGTCATTTGGGAGCTATGTTGGAGTAAGCTCAAATTAATTCAGAAAAAAGTAGTGCTTTGCCACCATCTTGTGGCATCTTGGTGCCATGGATCTATGTTGGGGTGAGTTGAAGAGAAATACATAGACAAAAGTAGTGCTTTTCCGCCATCTTGTGGCATCTTGGTGCCAACAAACATTTTTTAAGTGAAGTGAGAAGCTTAATTTAAACTAATCATGTTTTGCCACCATCTTGTGGCATCTTGTTGCTCAGGAACCCTGCTGGAAGTGAGTTGACGAGCTTCATTTTGACAAAAGTAAGTCTTGTGGCACCTATAGCCAATTATAAACCTTGATCTTTTTTCAACAGGTACTACCGAGGTGCAGTGGGAGCCCTCTTGGTGTATGACATCACCAAGCACCTGACCTATGAGAGCGTGGAGCGCTGGCTGAAAGAGCTCTTCGAACACGCCGACCCACACATCGTGGTCATGCTGGTGGGGAACAAGTCCGACCTGGAGTCGGAGAGATCGGTGCCAATGGAGGAGGCCAAGGATTTTGCAGGTACTTGACGGTATAGTACTTTTTTTTTTTTTTTTTTAAATAAGAGATGAATTAAATCTTTTTTTTTTTAAATGTAGAGAAACGAGGTCTGTTGTTTCTGGAGACCTCTGCGTTGTCGTCAACTAATGTTGAGGCTGCGTTCAACACTGTCCTAACAGGTAATTCCAGTAGTTTTCCTTTTATCTTGGCCTTACATTTACAACATCTGCTCAATCCCAATAAATAGAGACCTCCAGCAAGACTGAATAATGCCAAACATACAGAATTGATTTGTTGGGCAACGCTATTCCACTCCTGGTCTGTAGGTGGCGGTCATGCACATTGCCAAGTGCTTGCCAACTGGCCCACACGGCAATCTTTTTTTCCATTTCTCAAAACTTAGTGCCTAACTCTACCCCTTATCCTAACCTTAACCCTAACTGTCACTCCTAACCTTCTAACTCTTGACCTCTAACCCCGAACCCTCATCCTGAATATCGCCAACCTTTTTGAGAGCGAGAGCTATTTCTTGCGTTGTGATCACTTTCCTTCCCCTGATGCAGAGATACACAAGAAGGTGAGCAGTAAGGAGGTGTCTCGAGGCTCCATCAGCGCCGTCACCTTGAACACCCCCAGAGTGGAGCCCACCGAGGAAAAGAAACCTTGCTGCAAGAACATCTAAGCTTCCGAGGGGGAGCGTTGGCTTCTGGGAGTCCAAGGGGATGGTGGAGATCCAGGTCATGAGACACGTGGCTTCCTCTTTAAAATTGACTGATTTGAACCTGCGCAGGCTGGCCTAATGTGAACGAATACAATATCCTGCCTGTTATATTGTACATCTCGGGTTAGCAGTAATTTAAATAGTGCAACTGAAAGTTGTTCTAATGTTTTTTAAAGTACATATTTTAAGAGGGGAAGCTTCGCTCAGTGGCGAGTGCAAGGTGCGTGCGTGCGTGTGTGTGTGTGTGTGTGTTCCTGATGAAATAAATGATTTGTGATCAAATTGTTGACTACTGGATGTTAAGGCAAGAGACTATTTTCGGTAATTTAGATTTAACATTTAATAGTTCTGCCTGTCACTATGTGTCACTGCCATATTTGTAATTTATAAATAGTAATTGTGAGACAAATTAGTGAACTTCATACGTGATGATCTCTTACGGGACAGCCGTTGGGAATCACTTGTCTTAAAAAAATTAATAAATTGTGTTTTGCTTTAAAATACGGACGTGTTCTAAGTGACCACAAACCTTTGCAATCTCATTTGTATTTAAGTAAGAGCCAGGGAGTTCATACGACCACCATGACACACAACACTATCTTAACTTTTGGCCTTTATCACATTTCACTCACTGAGAACATTGAGAATGTGCTGAATGTTTTACCCCCAGATAAGGCTTTTTAATGCCTTTTATTCCAGTGCTGGCATGACCACAGATGCTACTTGGCTTACACTACACAAGAAAAAATGTCAAAGGGAATAGGCTGGCATCGGCCGGTGCAAACAGTCATTTATAGTTGTACCTTGACATGAACAAGAGGAACTTAGTCTTAAATAAGAGAGGGGGGGAGAGCGAGAGAGAGAGAGAGAGAGAGAGAGAGAGAGAGAGAGAGAGAGAGAACTTACTAAACAAAAGTAGCACTTTGCCACCATCTAGTTATTATTTTAATTATTTCATATTATTAGTATTATTTTAAAAGCCTGAAACTCTGCCCTTGTTTTAGGATCTGATTTGTTCTTATTGTTAATTTTTTTAATTGTCTCATTAAATTGTGTTATTTTCAATGGTTTTATGTTGTCAAATTTTCATTTATGTACACTACAGTCCCAGGTTTGAAGTTGAGTATCAATTTTTTTTTTTTTAATCATCCAGTGCTATTTTCCGAAAAAACATGACAACAAATTGCGGTTGTTTTTGGTAGGTCGTTTGTGATTGGGTCGGGCGTTATGAGTAAATTAAGTCAACAGGTTTGTGACGGCGCAAATTAAACTCGTAAATCAAGGTACTATAGGGAGTGCAAGTCAAAAGTCGGCAGAAGAACAAATGCAGTACTCAAGTAAAAACAAATTCGAGCTGAAAACTGCTTTAGTGTGTGTTTGTGTGCTCACTGAGGGCTGTATGGGGCTGCTGCTTTGGTTGATATCACCTGTTGAGGCTCTGAGCCACCTACGTCATCCACAGGAACCCAAATCATAAATGACAACGCCACTGACCAATCCCGTCACAGCGCGTGACAGGTGTCTGCCGGCCACGGACCAATGGGAGTTTAGCGAAGGCGTGACGAACAGGCGACGTCACGCCAGTGCTGCTGCTCAGGTTTGCGGCAACTAGTGGTGACAAGAATACGGAGCCAGTACGAGGAAGACGACGACAAACTTTGCCTCACGCTTTTCCTTTTTCCGAGGGGGAGACGAGACGGCATCACCGCTCACGACGTGTTGTTTGACCGGCTTGACGTTCGCCTCCCGCTGTCACCGTTTCTCTGGTCATAGAAGTTCGCTCGACTGGTACGAACGCGAGCGCGTCGAGTGAGGCGAAACTATGACGGGCCGGGAAGATGAATATGATTATCTCTTCAAAGGTGAGTCGCTCCATTTTGTCCCCCACCCGCCCCCATTCTTTTAGCTTGCTAAGTTTAGCTTACCTTCGTTTAAGTGACGACGAACTTGTCTTCCTCCGATGACTTTACATCAATCTGAGGGTGAGGGATGGCACCTGTTGCTACACACGTAAGCACTTTTAAAGCTACCCCCCCCCCCCATGCCATGACTCCTAACATGAGATCACTTTTGTCAAGCTAAGCCAACCGGCATGTGATGTGGCAAGTAGTCATCTTGCCCAAACCGGTTGACGTTGCAATCATCTTTGGACGACGTGAGGCCACGAAAACGCAAAAAAAAAAAAATGCCCCTGCCTATTTACTGGAGTTCAGGCAAATGTCATGTGACAACTGTCACTTACCAATAAAAACGACAATAGAGGCCGTCTGTGTTCAATTTCAAGAGACTGGTGGATAAACACTGCGCTTCTAAAGTTTGGAGTCACATAGAAATGTGCTTTATTTATTGTTTGAAAGGAAATCACGTTAATCTCAATAGAGATGTGCACATACGTATTATGCCGTTGCAAAGATTAATGAAAGATATCTTCATGTTATTTTATTCTTAAATCAAAGCAAAAAAAAATAAATTCTCCAATGAAAATAACACTAAAACTATCCAGAAATAGTCTCTATTTTTCCCCCAATCAAAACACGTGTACAGTACATAATGATTTTAAAGTGTACTGTAAATAGAGTTGAGGATCAAATTACTGTACATAATAGAGGTCCGATACAAATTACAATAAATTATGAAATAATACTGATAACAAAGTACTAATAATGAACAAAATATTCTTTTGGAATTAAATGTATTCAAATGTATTTAAAACTGGAGTGCCTCCCATGTGTCTTAGATCAAACTGTAGCAGTCTTCATGTTGCCAGTGTGCCTTTTCCAGAAGCATTAGATTCATCAGAAATATAGTCTTGACCAATCATTCTCAACCTTTTTTGAGCCAAAGCACATATTTTACACTAGAAAAAAAAATCTCATGTCACAAAAATTGGATACACAGGTTTAATTGCCATCCAGTGGAAGAACATTTAATAGTTCTGTCTGTCACTACATGTCACTGCCGTATTTGTAATTTTAAAACAAATTAGTAAACTGCATACGTGATGATCTCTTATGGGACAGCCGTTGGGAATCACTTGTCTCTTTTAAAAAAAAAAACAGAAATTGTGTTTTACTTTAAAAGACCGACGTGTTCTAAGTGACCACAAACCTTTGCAATCTCATTTGCATTTAAGAAAGAGCCAATAAGTTCATACTACCGCCATGACACACAGCGCTAGCTTAACTTTTGGCCCCTATCACATTTCACTCACTGAGAACATTGAGAATGTGCTGAATGTTTTACCCCCAGATAAGGCTTTTTAATGCCTTTGATTCCAGTGCTGGCATGACCACAGGTGCAACTTGGCTGCACCACACATAAAAAATGTCAAAAGGAACAGGCTGGCATCGGCCGGTGCAAACAGTCGTTCATAGTTGTACCTTGACATGAACAAGAGGAACTTAGCCTGAAACAAGTTGTCAAACTGGAAATACCTGCATGAAGTGTGTGTGAATGTGAGTGTGTGTGTGTGAGTGTGTGTGTGTGTGTGTGTGTGTGTGTGTGTGTGTGTGTGTGTGTGTGTTCACTTAAAGCCATACAAAAGCTTTGTCACAGAGCAAAGCGAAGATGAGATTTGGTTCCAGGCAGACTGGCATCAGCAAAAATTGGAGTGACAAAGTGCGGATGGCAGTCAGGTGCCTTAGGTTTTATTGCTTTTGAACTTTTTACGCCTATCCTTTTGTTCTTTTAATGCACCTATGTTGTTAACTGAGTCGACACAGGAAGTTGTCCACAGCCGTCCCATTTGAGGCTTCCTTCGCTTCTTCTTTCACTTCACTCGCCAGAAAAATCCAAAGTGGAAACAGCATATTTGTCTATTTCCATATAAGTATGCGTCACTATGAACCTAAATGACAATAAAAAGTCATTTTACTATCTAAAGCGACTGTTCCTGCTTATGTTAATTTACAACATTACACTGCCTTTTTTTTTGGGATTTACCATAATTTTAAGTAATTTAGTAAGACATGTGCAGCCGTATTTTTGTCATATTGTGAACTGATTTAAATATTTTTTTTTCAATTTAAAAAAAAAAATCATTTAGGGGGTTACATAGAGCAGACTCTAATCTAATCCAACCAAACAGGTTCATCCTCCCAGAATTAGCTTCATAGCTCAGGTGAGCATCCACTTGCTTTGGGGAAGGCTGGCACGTCATTAGAAATGGGTGTGGGGGTTGATGTTTTGATATAAGCGCTGTCAGGAAAGTATCTTTTGTCAGCAGAAACGTCAACAATGTGCTTTGTGGATGGGCGTGTAACAGAGACATAATTGTAACTCTCGTCTTAATGGTTGCCTAATGATTCTTCTCCTCCACCCAACATTCAGGACAAATGGTGGTAACTTTTCAAGATATAGTAGACTGCCCATTTGTTTGACACCATATTTGCTCTGACTAACACATTGCAGCAGTGTTGAAACATGACATGGTTTGTTTGTCAATGCAGTTGCTGCAAGCCGTAGCACTAAACTTCCTATTTCGTAAAGGTGGGATGGCATCAGGCTGACAAAAAAAATCTGAATATGAGGAAGTTAGTAGTACCGAATTAAGTCATGATTCATGATTGAACATTTTAAGAAATGTCGACAACAAAATAGATTGTTTCAATTTATAGCAGTGAACAGTGGTGGTCTATTTCAATGTTGATGCTAACACGAGTATTTCTCTCTCTCTCTCTCTCTCTCTCTCTCTCCCCCCCCCCCCTCCTCCACACCACCATTAGTGGTGCTAATCGGTGACTCCGGCGTCGGGAAGAGCAACCTGCTGTCCCGCTTCACCCGCAATGAGTTCAACCTGGAGAGCAAGAGCACCATCGGTGTGGAGTTTGCCACGCGCAGCATCCAAGTGGAAGGCAAAACCATCAAGGCGCAGATCTGGGACACTGCTGGACAGGAGCGATACCGGGCCATCACTTCTGCGTCAGTGCAATGCCCTTATTTGATATTTAATCACATTTATTGCATTACGGTTTATCACGGGGGAGATGCTCTGGACCCACCCACAACAGGAGAAAATATGCAGCAAAGAGGACAATAAAACTTTACGGAAAAAGCTATAAAAGCCCATACAAAAGGATCTCTATGTACCGCAGATTTCCACAAAAAGTATATGTACCACCCAAAAAAAATATTGCGACATTGTAGGGCAGGAGTGTCAAACTCATTTTTATTGCAGGCCACATTATAATTACCGTTTCCCTTGGAGGGCTGTTATGACTGAAACTATATAACAAAGTCACAAATAACGTGTTATTCAATAATTGTTTAAGTAACTGTAATGAAGGGTTTGGTAACAAGAAAATGCTTACAATACGTCACTGATTTACTCCATATGAAAATTAGAAATTTTGGTACAGATTTGAGCAATCACCATGGAAGTTGTCATCTTTGATTTGCTTTTGCGGGCCACTTAAAATGATGTGGCGGGCCACACGTGGCCCCCGGGCCTTGAGTTTGACACCTGTGTTTTCGGGCCGCAATTTAGTTTGAAAACTGTAAAGGTGTGCTGAATGTCGTCCTCTCACTATTTCACAGGTACTACCGCGGCGCCGTGGGAGCACTGCTGGTCTATGACATCGCCAAGCATCTGACGTATGAGAACGCCGAGCGCTGGTTGAAGGAGCTGCAGGATCACGCTGACAGCAACATCGTCATCATGCTGGTGGGCAACAAAAGCGACCTGCGCCACCTGAGAGCCGTGCCGACCGACGAGGCCCGGGACTTTGCAGGTGCCTCCTCCGGATCATTGACACTTGAATCCATCATTACGTCAGGGCTGAAGAGAATTTTATTTATTTATTTTTTCACAATTCACATTTCTCCAAATTCTCAGAAACCTTTTGATATTATGGACCGCAGGTGATGAAATCCCGAAATTCCTTGCTATTGTACCTTGAGGAACGTATTGTCCTGAAACTGTTTGACTATTTTTTTACACAGTTGTTCACAAAGAAATGAACCTTGCCCCATCTTTGCGTATGAATGGCTGAGCAATTCAGGGAAGGTCCTTTTATACCCTCTCATGGCACCCACCTGTTCCCAGTTAGCCTCTTCACCAGTAGGATGTTCCAAACAGGTGTTCGATGAGCATTTCTTTTTTTTTTTTTTTTTTTGCCCGTATTCTTGGAATGTGTTGCAATACTTAGTTAATGATTATTTGCTAAAAATAATTACATTTCTCAGTTTGAACATTAAACATCTTGTCTTTGTTGTGTATTCAATTAAATATAGGTTGAATATGATTAGCAAATTATTGTTTTTTTATGTTTAACATCCTCACTTCATTGGAATTGGGTTTGTTGTATTGATTTTTGAAAAAGTAAGAAATTTACTATATTTGGCCATATAAGGTTTCCCCCCGACAGCGCCGATATTTACATTCCTTCTACATTTCCCAATCGATCTTCAAATCCTCAAATTGCCACATTTTTCATATGTTATGTAATAATTGAATAAATAAATATCAATAGTTTACATTTATACTATTTCTAGACTGACTCAGACATTCCATTTTCAAGTCTCACATTCTACATTTCATCAGTTCAATGAATTCCTCAGCATTTCCGTTCAGCGTCAGCTCTTCAGCATTCACACACACTTTCTACAGATATTGCATTCTCTAGTTTTGCTTATTATTGCAGGCTTCCAATGGCATCTGTTTGTTTTGTTTTTATAGAAAAACATCGCTTGTCTTTCCTGGAGACGTCGGCCTTAGACTCATCTAATGTGGAGCTTGCCTTCCAGACTATCCTCACAGGTGACTTTTATTTTATTACAGTTTTTGGAAGGTCCTTGAGATTTGATATTTTGTTATAAATTAAATGACATGTTAAATGCAATGATTTGAATGGCCGGCATCACAATGGACGAATACTTAGAATGTCTGCCTCACACTTCTGAGATTCGAATCTTTGCTCTGGCCGTCCTGTGTGGAGTTTGCATGTTTGCCGGCGTACCTGCGGAAAATCCCACACGACTGGGTGCCATCATAACAGAACTCACAAAAATGTCTGAAGGACCTATGCCCCAAAATTTATACGAAATTAGCCATTTTGGCTTGTTGCACCAATTATGAGTAAATTCCAGGACTTTGACAAACTCCGACTCGCCCCCCCCCACCCCCACACACACACACACACACACACACACACACACACACACAAATTACATTTAATGGAGGGGGGGTTCTCTAAAAGTAAAAAAAGAGAAAGATCAATTTCAGTTTATTTCGAAAGATTTACAAGCAAATGACACAGATTCAAAAGAATGGACTTGGAGGATTTGAAGAAAGGCACATTGCGAGATCTTGAATAATCAGTTTTGGTTCAATGCCGCACTTGGTGACAACACAGGAGTCGGAGATCGCTGCACTCGACACAATCCCCCGATGTCAGACACCATCTGTTGTCTGCCTGTAGATGGCAGCAACATCCGCGTAATCGTGTTCTTGCATCGATGGGTGCACTCGGGCGACCTCCAAGCACCCCTCTCAGCTCCCTGCACCTGCTTTGTATTAATTCACATCAGTGGATTAATGTGTTGTATAGCTGAACTGGAATTGAGTTAATGACCTCCTAAAATGGACCACCTTGCTTCACTTCGGCCTGAAGATTTTGCATCGCCTGCCGTTTGAGAACTTTGTGACACCTCAACTTCAATTACAGCATCCAGCCTCAGCTCTTGGGAATGTAGAAGTGACATCAATGAGCCGCTGCTGCGGCAGCTAATGTTGCTAATGGCCTCACTCTGAGTTGAAAAGAAAGAATGAGTGTGTATTTAGTGGGGAATGGCAAAGTTAATTTTGTTTTTGTTGTATAGTGAAGACATTTGGGTTTCAGATCAAAGGATGAATATGAGACCAAAGTTCAGAATTCCAGCTTTGACTCGGTGGTATTTACATCACCATGGCAACACCGGAGCACCTTGAAACGCCCATCAGTCACATGTTCCAATAATTTTGCTCCGTTGAAAAGTGGATGACTTGAAAGAAAAGATGCTCTGTCATGAGTTGTTTAACACACCTAGATGTAAAGATCATGAGGTACAAGCTGTATTTCTGAACTTTTGTCTCAAATTTTTTTTTTTGATCCAAAACCCAAATCTCTCCAATAAACAGCAAAAACAAAGGAATTGAACTTGCCCTTCCAATAGTTTTGGAGGGGACTGTACGAAACACCCCCCCAATGTCTCTCTCTCTCTCTCTCTCTCTCTCTCTCTCTCTCTCTCTCTCTCTCTCTCTCTCACACACACTCTCACTCTCTCTCTCTTTTTCTCTCCCTCTCCGTATCCCCGCTCAGCCATCTACAACATCGTGTCACAGCGGCAGATGTCGGGACGTAGCGACTCGGACTTCTCACCCGCCTCCAATGTGGTGCCCATCACGGTGGAGCCCACACAGAACGCGTCCAACAAGGGCATGTGCTGCCAGAACAACTGAGAGCCTCACAGCGACAGTTAGATGCAGACAGACAGACAGACAGACAGACAGACAGACAGACAGACAGACAGGTGGGGAAGACCAAGAAGTGGGTAGAGATATCCACTTCACTTCTTCATTAGGACTATTGTAGGGAGGGGTGTACGTACATTATCCATGTTTAACCCTCCTGTTACCTTGGTTTCTCAGGAGCAGCGTTAATGATCCTTTGGTCATTTTGACCCATTACGGAAAAAAAAAAAAATTAAGTTATAGCTAGGGTGGCAAAATTTCCGGAAAGTTTCTGTGGGGTGGGGGGGTTCAGATGGGCACTTTTGGAAATATTACACATTGGAAACTTTCCATGGGAGTTCATTGTAAATTGAGGGTAATTTCCTGGAAAGGTATCATAATATAAACATGTTGTTTTGTCGTTTACAGACATCTCTACAAATTATGAAGATAGCTCTTCTTGCCCGTCACATTACCTAATTGCTCCCCTTTTTTTTTTCTCCCCACACTTGGTTTGAGCAGTGGTGTATTGCGTCAAGGTACTATTGTTCAGTGAACCCCCACTATTCATGGAGGATTGGGAGCAAGCCCTCCCACAGAAATCCCCCCCCCCCCCCCCCCCCCCCCCCCCCCCGCTTCATGATTGTCCGTAGACGCCACGACAGTGGCCATGCACAACATTTGTCAAAGTGTGTAGCTCCTCAGCTCACATAAACATTTTCTTGGGACCAAGAGACCGTCAAATGTCACCAAAAATACTTTTTTTTTTTTCTATTAGACAAGGCTTTGGCCTGGTTAAATGACGTGCCTCCTTTCACTTGAATACTGCAACATGGCGGCAAAGCCATTATGGATATTAGAGGGGTTCGCTGTCATTTATTGCAAAGGTATTGAAAATAAATCATTTTGTTTTGTCATAACCAGGCACCCATGCAAACATAAATTGCTCTCCTTGCCCACTTCTCAGGGCATGAACAACAGTCACGGTTCGGCTAAAATCTTAATGTGTTTAAGTGCCCTCATAAGAGCCAACCTGCAAATTTATCAGTTTCTCCATTTTTTTCTTTGTTTTTGTTAGTTCCCATGGTCAATTTCTAACTTTGAAAATTCTCAGAATTTTGCATCTCGAGTTGTATCGCATGGTGATGCACCATCGCCATCAAGATTTACAGTTAAGTCACTATACTTCTTACTTTTTATATATCTTTGCTTTTGAATGTCGGTTTGACATAAGAGCTGGGTTAAATGCAGGAGAGGTTGAGGAAGTTTAGCACTCCCGGCGCTGTAAAAATTAAAATTACTAGTTTAATAATCCACCCCCCCCCAAAAAAAAAAATTCCTGCCACAGTCAGTCGAACCTTCCCAAAGACTGTCGCCACTTCCCTCAATTGCTCAATGTTTCATCCCAAATTATTTATTGAACACTACGTTTTATGCTTTTAATTGCATTGATTTTTATATTCACGCTTATTCTTTGTGAGGACATCCGCCTCTCCAAAAGGGGCGACAAGGAGTCGTATTTCATAAATGCACATGTTGGATCCTGGTCTGACTTCTTCAGATTTTTCTGGGGGTCCGGTGGGGGACTCGGAGGCACCGCTCCCCCTTTTCGTGAGATAAATGGATGGAACCTCCTTAGCTTTTTTTTTTTTTTTTTTTTTAATGTAAATACCGGAGACCCTTTTACTGCTTTCTGTCTTAATTGGACCAGGACATTAAAAAAAAAAAAGTTTTGCCTTGCAGAGGTCAACCCTCCCTTGTCTTTCCTGCAGGGAGGTATTTTTGTTTATTACTTTTTAAAATAATAAAAAGTTGTTAGAGTGTGTTAGTAAGGGCTTGATTTAAATTACACACAATCAGCTGGTGTGTGTGTGCTGTGTGGCCTTCACAGGTCTTTAAACTTTGTGGTGCAGGACAGGGCTTTTACTGTTTTTGTTTTTTTTTAAAAAAAGGAAACGCAAACCACTATTCTAATATGTATATTGGACTGTATATGTGCAAATAAATTTGATTTGTAGTAGAGTGTCTTTTATGTCTTCATTTGGTGGAATTGAATGACGTTACTTAATGAGCACGAATAAGAGGATATTAACTTTGTCGCCAGACAATTTTTAAGAATAATAAGCACAAGAAAACCTTTATTCATCTCACAATGGAGAAATTCCTAATTTACAGCAGCAAAGTTATGAAAGGAAGAAAGTAGAAGAACAAAAAGTATAGGAGCCACTGTAAAGGCTGCCACTGTCGCGGCGCCATCTTACCACTCCTAATTTCATGACGCAATATATTTCACTTCACTGACTGATTGTCCTTTTGATTGCTGAGGAGAATATATTTAATTTTAACCCTGCTCCTATCTTTTGGTCAAATTGACCAGGTTTGAAAATGGGCAAAAAGAGAATCCACTTTTTTCCATGAACTCGTTCACTGCTGTGGACTTTTATATTTGTCAACTGGAATCCAACCATTTTCCTCCACAGACGAATACATTCCTCTGAGGAACACTATTTAGAAGAGCCGCTGACGTTCAGCTCGAGCCATGGCGTCAGGGCACTTTTTGTACTCATATCTGTGAATTATTTTCCCATCGAAAGAATTTTCTCAATCTTGTTTTTTATTTTGTAGTTTGAGGTGTCACAAAAGCAAAAAAAAAAAAGTGCAAAAGTCTCTGTTCTGCTCAACATGTTTCTTTTCACAAAAAGCTAATTTTCTCCGCTTTTTGGTCAGAAACCGGTGCTCCTGGTGAAATCAACGATTGTTCTACTGCTGATTACGGTACTAAAGAACGGAAATATATAGAAACAAACTCGGGTGACAGAAGAGAGTGTACACCGTGTTGGTGGTGAATGATTTATCAAAATGCTCTAAAACAAATCGCAAAATGGGGAATTCTGCTTTGGAAACGGCTGGCAGCGAATGAATTAAAAGAAAAAGTAATTGATTTTATATCATGCATTCTCCAATTTTCACCTAAATCGATCTTTTTTTTTATGTTTAAATGTATTAAATTACAACAACCTGTACTTATTAATTTTTTTAAAGTAAATGTTCTTTTTGCAACAAACTTTCTGATCATTGCAACTCTCAAAATAACAAAAGTACAACTCACTCCATGACCGGGATCGTTTTCATTTTGTTCTTTTTATTAGAAACATTTACAATACATCTTGTATCTTGGAAAAATAACAAAGAACCAGAACTAACATGGAGCAGATACATTAATAATAATAATAATAATTAATCAATCATAAAAATGTCTTCCAAAAAATGTAATTCACCAAAAAAACATGTGCTATAAGAAATAAACCTGCAATATCACATGCCTCGTCGAGTGCATGGCACACTGTATGTAACAGAGTTCAAAGATTTTTTTTTCTCTCTATTTTTCATTGTTTGTCATTTTTGTTCCCATCCATCAAAAAAAGTTGATGGTCAGCCACAGAGCGCCCCACACACACACACACACACACAAACACACGCGTGAGGGGGGTAAGGGGTGGGGTGACCCTCTTTTCACCGTTTATAGAGAAACCAGAAACTAACGCCAGCTTGATGACGCTGGCCCGTAAACTAACGCATTACCACCACTATTAGACCGGCATGAAGCACGCACACACACATACTATTTGTGCTGCAAATATTGGAAAACGCTACCAAGAGACAAACTGTCGACCGCGCCGGCCGTCTTCGGAGGAAGATTGCGAGTTTTCACCTTTTGGTCCCGTCACGTACAGCAGGAAATGTGTCAAGTTTTGACCAATAAATACATAAACCACAGGAAGTTCAAGTTCATTTGCTGTGAGGTGAATGCAAATACTGTATACAGACCATCCAAAAGTATTGGAACAGTGAGGCAAACTCCTTTGAGTCTACTGTTGACCGCAAAACTCTAGGTCGGCGACGTTATGTTTTTTTGTGGTCTTTGAAAACAAATCAAGTGCGTCAAATTAGTTTCTTGCTAACTGGATTTGATTTCATCTCAGCAGAAAATTTGTACAAAAATGTGAATTTTCCTGGACTTTTTTCCCCCAAATATGACTGATTATTTTTCTCCCAATCTCAGAACTCATTCGCTGCCGTGGATGTTTGTATACATCAACCGAAATCCATCTGTTAACTCTGTCACACACGTCTGTATATTCGTCAAGCGTGTTTTTCAACAGGTTGCTGTGGGAAGAGGGCCTCGCCCAGCTTGTCTTTGAAATTCAAGTTTTGAACCCGCTGTAATGACGAATGGATGCCTGTAGGATGGTTCGCTGCTCATATTGTCACAGAAGCAGAACGCAATATTTAGACACATCATGAGTTAACATCAACTTATCATATCATATTAATCATATTTATGTTTGGTTGTCACTATTTTCCATGATTCATGATCTCAAATACACCATGTAGTTAAAAAAAAAAAATATATATATATATATGAAAATAAAGCAGGGCGAGGCGTTAATAGAGCAGGGCGGACACACACAGCTGGAGATGAATGAGGTACAATGGGCTTCATGTGCAGTACTAAGATGCTTGGGCAAGGGGGAGC